GGAGGGGGGGGCAGAGAAATGCAACACGCATTGCAGCGGAGCGCGATTCCTCCATTCGGGCTGCGAGGCAAAAGCAATAACAAATAAATATATGTGGAGCTGAAGCTCTTTGTTGGCGGGGCCAAATGTACCCGTGTATGTGCGAGCTGCATTTTAATGTGCCTCAATTCACTTTTGTGGCGGCGGCAGCAAATTTCTTCTTTTTTTTTTTCCCCTTCTTGAGCCAACAAATCTCTCAATCTCTCAACGCAAGTATTGCCCTTTTGTCATATCCACGGATAGCGCGATAAAAGCGCACTGATCATCTAGTTTTACGTATAAAACACTGATCTGGTACTGGGGAGCCACACTTCCAGGGATGGCTATTTCAGTTGCTAGGGGTAGTTGGACGCCGAGTTTGGAGCCCCGAAACGTGCACCTCTCGTTTTCGCTTTCTGACATCCTCCCTCATATTTCCGTCAAAGCAAAAAGAGCCCGCTGTCAAAACAAACTCGGGGGCGCTCTCCCCAAGTGCTCTGTCCAAACAATTCCCCGTATTCAGTTCTCACATTAAGCTGCGCAGCGCGGCCAGATCAAATCCCGGCCCGTTTTCGAGCCACTATTGCCTTATAAAGGAAAGGGGGGAGAAAAAAAGCGGCTGCGAGGGATGGCTTGATTCAGCTGCTGTGCCTCCCTCGCTCGCTAAGTCCAAACATCAAACCTGGCTTTTTTTTTTCTCCTTTCGCTCGTCTTCTAATGAGCTGTCAAGCGGTGGCGTTTGGCCACGAGCAACGTTGCCGTGCCGCGACAAACCGACGGAGAGACAAAGAACCATCGGAATCGCGTGTCACCAGCAGTGAGTTGCATTGGGCCCCGCAGCCAAAAGCCTCATCGCGCTTCCTGCGCTCAAACCGGGCACATGCGCGTCGGATGCGAATCCCCCCGCGACGCGACGGCGGCAACGTCGTCAAAAAGCACCGCCGAGCGTAGACGATATGATCCTACATCGGGGTCCGTAAATATTGATCATGTGTTTTGGTTAGCGTAGCGCAGATGATTCCGAGTCGCAATGAGCTTGACGGACTGGAAAATGCCTCGTTGGCTAGCCAGAGGCTTGGCTGCGCTTTATTTTGGTTGACGGAGGAGCAGCCTTGTCGTGAAACAGTCTCAAGACTTCTTTCTGGTAGGAGAGTCCCATTTTCCCGAGGGCCAGACCGATATAGATTGGAGTTGAGGCCAAAAATTACAGAGAAGCGATGACTCATTCGGGTAAGTCAAATGAAATACAAATATCCGTTGTCTACTGGCATCTTGAAAAATGACCGCCTCCCCCGGACAAAACGGCTTCCTTGTAATCTCGACACTTTGGTCTCCCACTCTTATGACTCGATTCTCCTAAACATGCGCTTCCTTGAGAAAATTGCACAACGAGTGGGCATCGCTCCACTGAATCCATCTGGAAAAGCAGGTTGGGCCAGTCGGCCCCGTCGACCTATTTTTCATCGCCCGGTGCGCGGTGCCGTCAGGAAGTTGGACCGGGAAACATTTCACAAAGCAAGAGTATTTGGTGACCAAAGGCCACCAGCGAGTCGCTTCCTCGGAGAAAACGGGGGCCGTTTCTGATTTCCGCCATCTGCGGCGTTGCGATGAGGTCGTAAATCAGCGCAAAGACAAAAAGAGACCCCGTTTACTGTCGCGCGTAAAAACGATCAGAAGGGGATTTATTTGGAAAATAAACGTTTGCCGAGTCTGGCCGCCAAAATCGAGGACGAGGCGCATCTTGGAAACAGAACAAGAAGATCAACAAGAACAAGAACAACAACACAACACTCGGTGTTCCCCTCGAGAGCGAGGAACCATACCAAAGAGTTTCCCAAGTCCAAACGGACGCGCGGCGAGAAACCAAAAAGCTTCGCGCTTGCCACGGGCTTCTTCGCTGGCCTCCTGAAACGTCTCCCATCTTTGGACCGTCTCATCACATTTTGTTGACGTCGAAAAGACTTCTCATACAAATGCGACTTTGGGCGTCTTTCTCTAGCAGACATGTGCACGCGCACGAGGTGCGCTGCGGAGGTTCGAGCCTGCTGAACTTTGGCGAGGTCACTGCAGGAATTTAGCAGGCCAGAGGCGATTAGCAATTGAGTAATGGACATGGTGACACCGACAAAGAGACAGACAGACAGACAGACACAGATCGAGCGAGAGTATGAAACCCAATCCGAGTTCATTATCTCCTCGTCCACATGACTGCCCTTGGCTCATCTGGCCCAAAACAAACTTGCTTGGGAATTAACAAAGAAAAAAAAATCTGAAGGCAAAAAAAGGGGAGGAGGAGGTTCTTCTCATCGACTGAACTGCCATCAAATGTTGAATTTTTGTACGTCAACTGATTTTCTTGGCAACTGCCGCTTGAATTTTCATCAAATCAGATCTTCAATCTCATCCGAGCGTCACCCAAATGCTACTGGATTCTCTTCAAGTTCAAGTAGGACACTTTTTGGTGTGTCATTTGCACCGAGGACCCCCTTCGTAGCCGCCTGAGCCTGCCTGCGATCTTTCCGTCCGATGTCTTCATGACAAACGGGGGAGATGAAACAACAATCAGACCTTCCCAAGGACACCTTTGCCGCCCAAGATGGAATATACCCAAACGACGCAGTTCATCGGACTGCCTCTTCCAGAGTCATTCCATGCCAAACGCGGTGAGCAGGTGAGCCGTGGTGGATCCACACACACAAACAACACATGCCTTGAAGCGGGGCAGATAAATACACCGGTAATAAAAGGAGCAGCAAATGAATACAATCTCACATCCCTACAAGCACAGTGTGGAACATGTGCGTGGAGGGCTGTTAGGACGTTTGCCACGGCAATTGATACAAAACTGCTGCTGCAGTCCCGGGCCTGTCAGTGTGTGTGTGTGTGTGTGTGTGTGTGTGTGTGTGTGTGTGTGTCAGCTGGGAGGAAGAGAGAGAGAGAGGTCAGAAGAATTCAAAGGTACGACTCCATCAAAAATGAACAGATGGAGACACCACACTACGATTGCTTCACCTACTGTGGAAAAAAGTAAAACAATTCAGTTTAAAATAAAAGTCATCATTTAAAAAAAAAAAAAAAGCAAATTAAACCCCAAAAATGTCAGTGACATTGAGAAGCTATAATTGTTTATGGACATAATGTATGAAGGCCCACAAAATGTTATATACCATTCTGATATGATTGTGAATATTTATGATTAATTATTGATGTATTTTATGCTCAATCCTCCATTTTCAACAGCGCTTATCCAGAGGGGTGTCCCGGTGGGAGGGGGGGGGAGGGGCACGCTCTCCCTACTGACTACACCCTGAACTGGTCGCCAGTCAATCGCAGGGCACTCAATAAGAAAGAAAATCTGTGTGGTGGCATTCCCAAAAAACGACAATGGATGACGTTCGGTTGAAGGTCTGCTTTTTCAAAAATATTTGGGAGCGATTCTTTCTTTTCCAACATTTTGCCGTTGGCGAGCCGGCCCGCTCTCGCGTGTACCTTCTCAGTCGTCCAGACGGCGCTAACAGAATTGTTGGCATTTTTTAATCTATTTTTTGCCAGCTGGAATTAATGCGGGCTACCTTAAAAATCAACTGACCTCCAACCCTACGTGTGAGAAGAAAAAAAGCTAAAAAACCCACACAGGCACAGTAGGTCACGGCTTGGTCACAAAACCAACACACAAAAGGAGAGTAGGAGAAACAAACGCAGAGGAAATGACATCACGGGGTGAAGGGGAATCTAATTGTGGTGACCGCATTTGACGCAACGTAAGCCGCTGTCGCGGGTTTGCAAGGGAACGGAGCCACCGACAACTCCGGTGGGCCAACTCCATTTTCAAGTCCCGTGCAGAAATCAAGAGAAGAAGGCAACCAAAACAAACAAAAAAACAAACAATCATCATCATCAAAGTTTCGTTCCAATGCTGACAGAGAGAGGGCAGTCCATTATGACCTCCCCCCTGCAACTTATTGACAGATGCGTCAGCTGTCTGGAGACTTTGGACCTGGACCACTGTTGCATCAATCCTTGATACCAAAACAACAGCAGAAAGCGAAGGCAAGTCCAGCTTTAGAGCGGGTGCTTTCATCAAATCCTGCTCGATTTGGCACATGTTGGGATGTGGAGCACTCTTGCGCAAACCACCTTTCCAATCGCAGTTTGTTTGTTTGCTTTCTTTCTTTCTTTGGGGAAGCCAGGATGATGGCCATGCCTGAGTCGCCGACCAAAGTGCAAGCTACCTGAGCCAAGCAAAATGTGAGGAAACCCAGCGTCATTTTTTCCAAAACAAATATCCCAAAGAAGTGACCTTTGCCATCGAAACCACCGAGATGCAAATCCACCCAATTTTTAAACTTGAAATGTCGCTCTTGTGCGAGGCGCAGGACGGCGCTCAGTAAAGTTCAGTCTAACGCCACCCCCCCCAAAAAAAAAACAACAAAACACGTGCTTCCTGTGAGACACCACGCTGTCAAGCTGATGCCCGCGTGGGGGGTCAGCGTGCAAATCTCAGACGGCCTCGGGTTACACATTTACACGAGCCGGCAACTCGCCGGCTATTAATCGGACCCGCGCGAGCGAGGAGGCTAAAAATGTCATTCCTCCCACTGCCGTCGTCACATTTTCCCCACACGGATAGGCTGAGAAAAAGAAAAAAAAAAAAAGCAGAGGATTTGTTTTTGTTCTCCTAACTCATGACGTTATTTTTGTCACGTAATTCATTTCCCAGTAAGTGGAAACTGAGCGCTCGATACTTGTATTCGAACTTCATGACCGACTTTGTTTTGTTCAGTTTTGTTTCCCCCGCCAGGATTTTGATGAGATGACTTCACCCGCATCGCACATCAGACACGATTTTTCAGCGTCGTGCCCCGACGGCAACTATCGTCGCAAACGTGTGATTGCGGACGCCTCCCCGGCGGACGGAAGGGCGGTCCGGTCGGTGACGGACTCGCAACGTGACGTCAATTGTGGCGGAGTATCAAGGGATCGGAGGACGCTGCAGCCATGTGAAAAGAGCAGGAATGTTTCCCCGGCCAGAGAGTGAAGCTCCGCAACTCATTGCAATATGACATCTTCTTTCGACTACTTTTCTCTGACATCCTCCTAAAAATTGCCCCCCCGCCCGCGTTTGGACAATTGCAAGCCATTAACACGCCCTCGTGAAGACCAAACCTGAGTAATGTGAGCTTGCGAGGATCTGAAAACGTAAGTAACTCCCTCCCCACCCCCCCATTTCCCCCAGCCGTGTTGACATTTTCCCACAGTGGCAAAATTCAAGAGCCCTCCCTGCCCCCCCTTCCCCGCTAATGTTTGTTTTTGGGATTACACGTCGCATCTGTAAACGCTCGCCGCTGACTCCGATTAGCGTCACGGGGCGAAGCCGGCGCTTTGCGAAGGTCGCAAAGGTCCCCGCGGCTTTTCGAGATCGATCCTTGTGTTGTAATCCGGCTGACAGTAAAGCGGCGCCCATTCCCGTGGACGCACTTGAACGCCCCCCCCCCCACACACACACACACACAAGCACAAACACGCACGCAAAAATGCTCTTGAAAGCAAGAAGGCCACGTGATGCGAGCTGCTGCATAATTCAGGCAAAGCCAGAGGAGGGAGGAAATTGCTTTTTGGCATCGCATCGCATCGTCTGTTTGTTTGGTTTTTTTGCCCTGTCATCGTTTTTCCCTCAAAGAGGAGGATTGTTTTCTCTTTTGTTGCGTTTCCATCGAATGCATCGGCTTGACTGACTCGGCCCGATAAGATGGTTGACAAACATACGCACGCAGCGAGGAATGTAAACTGGGCTCACTTTTAGCCACGGGCCGCACAAAGCAGGCAAAACACAGAATGCCACGGCACGGACTTCTTTGCTACTTGTGTGCGATGACGACGGCGAAGCAGGAAATGGAATTTATGCAATCCAGCGCCTCGTGGTTGCCAGAAAACGCCCTCCCTGCTTTCGTCATTCATGTCCTTCAGGTCACATTTCCCAAAATTGGGGAATTACAATCGATGAAATCCTTTCAATTGGCGTCGGCAGTTCTCTTTTGCCCAATTCAATCAAATCAAATCTCTCTTTTTTTTTTTTAATCCAGTAAGTGGATGATCAAGTATACATGTTCGATGTAAAACATGAGCATAATCAACTATTTCTACCCTCATCACCAAGGTCGCCTACCAGCGCTAACATAAAAACGGTTGTCGACGACGAGGGTGGCGAGAGATCGCCGGACGATTTTCCATCCGACTGACTGTAAGCGGGAGTTTGTTGTTTTTGCGCTCGCCAGTGGAACGGGCTTCTGGCGCCAGTCCGAGCACGGCAAAGATTCTTCCCGTCATTCCCGATCGGGTGGGACCAAACGGTCTCGTCCGGACCTCGAAGCTTCCCCCTGTGGCGGGCGGCGGCCATATTGCCCAAGTGTGCCTGGAAGCGATTCCTAAACGATGGCAGCGTGCTCAAAAGGCCAATCGGACATTTGGAGGGGAGGAATGCGAGCCGCTTCTTGGGGAGATGCTAGCCGTGGCTCATCGGAGCGACAAAGACGATGGCTCGCGTAAGCTGCGGCGGGGGGGGGCCATAAATAGCCATGTTTCTCATGAAAGGGAAATGCGATAGGCGCGCTTATTACTCAAGAGGAAAGAATGCAAGTAAACCTTGAGCGGAAGACTTCCAGTACAAACACGGCTTTCTTTGTGCAACGCTCGTGCGCGCGCACGCACTAGCGAGACGAGAGAATCGGCGACTAGAGGAGGAGGAGGAGCAGGAATGTGCACGCAGAGGAGGTCCATTAAAGTGCCGTTGCAATATGAGAGCCAAAACAAAAACATCAGTACAGTCGTGTGGGGGGAGGGGGCCGGTGCTTACATCAACGTTTGGAGATTTGTGCCCATGCCACAAAAAAAATATATATATAGAGAGACGCTCCACATGTGCCAAACTCATGCAGCCCGCTACAGAATTTTGGGGGGCCCGCTAAAGGCAAATCGAGGGTGTGAATTCTGTTTCGGCAAAACGGCCGCAGCTAAACTGTTGCTTTCCTTCCCCTTTCGTCGGGGACGGACAACGGCCGATCCGGATCTCGGCAGCCGGCCCCCTTTCGACGCGCTGCCCGTCCCGGCCTCGCATATCGACGGGCACGGCCCACGGGAGCCTCGTTCCGTGCCGGTCGCCTCCTCGGCCGACCGCTCACCGGAGCGCCGGGACGCGGGGTCCGGAAGTATGACGGAAGATTTTTTTTTTTCTTCAGGCTTACGCCGCACGCCGGGTGGGGTGCTACCCAAATGCCGATGACATAAGTCACAACTTTCTGCGGCGCGACTTTTCAGGCGCGGATTGACTTGACGCTGGAGGGGTCCAAGTTTTGTTTTTTTGGAATCATCCAGTCATCGTTTGGAGCCCGTGTTTAACTTGAAACGCACCAAATGCTCAGCCTCTCGGGGCTCATTCTTTACTGATTTCTGTCAACTGATTATCTTTCGCCGAATCCAAACATCTGCTTTTACGATGTCCGAAACCGTCACCGAGTCGCTTTCAAATAGGTCGGCGGCGACATTGTGTCATCTTGCCCATTTGTTGTTGGGTCCTTTTGTTTTTGACCACTTCACAACAATGATTGGTTTGTCGAAAAATGGTTTTGTCGCATACACTGGTATCGAACATACAAGCGCATGGCCGGAATAATCCCAAGAAGAATCAAGTGCAAAACTATTCCAAAGTGACAGCCCAACTTTCCCACGTTGACTTGCTTTCATGAACAGAATAAAAGACGCTCCCTGTTTTTCCAGGCATGACTCAGGCCCATCTTTCCCGTTGAACGCAACGTCGCTAGTTTGCGAACCTGCACGCGTTGCAATATTCACCTCCTGCCGAATTTTTGGTGCCTGTGCGTACCAATGGCACATACGGTGCGCCGATGCTTTGGTGCGGCAGGAGCGGGTCCGCCGCCGAGATAAGATTCATTTCGGTCTACGCGGCTGAGCCGGCCGGCTCGGTGCTTTATTGATTGCATTACTCGTGGCTCTTTGGTGGTGTGGGGAAGATGATGTAACCGCAGTCGTTTTCTGTTTGGAAATATTGACATCTCTGTCCGGTCACGGGGTCGGGGCGAGCACAGACTTTGATGTCCACGGTGGCGGCTGCAACAGGTCTGTACTATTTTCCAAGTGGGCATAGGTTGAGATGCGCTTGTGAAAGTAAGTGACGATTGGTGGTGGTTTTCTGACACCAATCCGCGTTAAACTCTCTCTTTTTTTTTTTTTAAGACTGTCTACCAAGATCCCGCTCGCTATTGAAAAATCCGCAATCTTGAGTTCATCTGTCATGCAGTGAGAACGCATGACGACGGACGACTGTACCGTCCAAGTGTCGTCGGTATTTGACGTCGACGCTCCTACATACGACCGAAGACGCTCCTTGTTACGAACGGGGCCAAATCAAAACAACAGAGCCGTTACGACGGCCCCGACGTACGCCGCAAAGTTCGACGTGAAACAGACAGCACCGAAGACATGACGGGGAGCGATCGGTTCGACGTCGTGCTCCCTACGTCTCCTTGTACGGGCGCGAGCAGGTTATTAACAGGACAACTCCGCGTTCCGACTTACGTCCAACTGTACGTCGCTCGCGAGCTCGCATCCACGCCATCTGCAAACCATGTAGCGCATTCACATCTATTGCGCAATTTCCGCCCGACTAACGTCCACAGAAAGGCCCGACGCGTGCTTTTCAAGCGCAACGCGGGACGTATTCCCACGCCGAACACTCGGCAAATGCACACGCAGGACAATGGCGAGGAAAAACGGCACCGCACACACCGCCAAGGCGACTAATTAATGCACTCAATATGCCAGGGATCGGAATGGAGAAGGGGAGGAGGA